CATCATTGTTTGGCGGGCCGGGCTGGGGATTCAAACCCGCCACCTTAGGTGTATGTGGCTGGCGCCTTAGCTGCTTGAGCCATAGGCGCCGAGCCATGAGTTTATTTTCTTAAAAGACCTGCTTACATCCATTCTTCTTGCCCCATGATGACCAGATCTTAAGCTTAAAAACTTTTTAAGTGGTTTCCAGCTTTTTAGGCCTTCAGATACATGCTGTCACAATTAACATAATTCTTCCTTTGTCTAATTACAGACCTACTCCAGGCACTGTCTGTTTTTAGTTTTACTGCAAAGGCTTCCTTGTTCGGGGGCTCCTTTTCTTTTCTAAGGGATTATTTTGATAATATCACTTCCTTAAGACAATAAGTCTTACTGTGTGCCAAGCATTGTGCCCGGTACTTCGCATGTATTATTAACTCGTTTAACTGTCACATGAATCTTGATTTTATCTTTAAGGCACAGGGTAGTGACTGACTTGAGGTCACACACGTAGTAAGGGGTGGAATTGGGATCCCAGAGTTAGGTCTTCAGTTTTCTGTATGGCTCTGCTGGAGACCTGCTCTAGCCTTTCAAGTTAAAGACCCTGTTTTGATGGCCCTGGCTGCTTTTTATATCATATTCTCAGTCATAGGGTCCTGTTAGCACCTTGTCTGCTGACTGGATCATCTCCTATGGTTGTTCCATTCTGGCTAGATTTCCTTGTTGGTGCCACGATGAACCCTCTCCTTTCTTTCAGCCTTTGTATGAGCCATTTCCCACTTTTCTTGGCTAAACTGTTTCTTTCCATTCCATCCAGGGTGTCCTGGGCTCCTCCCATGGGTGTACCCCAGCAGACTTGATCCATTGCTCACTGTGGATGTTTGTGGCATTGCCAGGGTCCATAATGTGGGCACAGTCATAACTGTTGTGCATCTTCCTGACAGTTTCCACCACTACTGTTTTTCTAGTGCTATTTTTATTTTTCTTCCTTTTGGAAAGTTAGTGTGGCCTTGAGAGCAGGAGTTGCCTCCTCCTTTGCTATTGTGTCCCAAAGCATTCTTTGACCAAAATGTTAAATAGACTGTAGCCTGTGGAAAATTCTCCAGGAGTCTGGAAGTGGGTGGTTTTGGTGAGCTAGGTAACAAACAGATGTGACTTAAAGGATGATTGATGATTTATAGTTATCTGTATTTGTGTTCATTGACAGTGTTTATTATTTGTTACCAGGGTTAAGGGGCAAAGGAACAGAGCCAAGAAACAATGTTTCTCTATGTATAAGCACAGAGGTCACTTCACATTGTGTTGGGGATGAGGAGATGGGAAGAAAGTAATAAATACATATTGTGTTTCTTAGTGTTCAGGAATTTATGACCTTCACAAGTCAACTGATTGTGGAGCGCTCCGCGAAAGGCACCAGATCATCTGTCAAAGAACAAGGTAAGAAGGCTCTCCAGCCTGGCTCCACACCTCGGGTAGTACACAGCTCTGTGCTCCCTGCTGGGACCCCACTTCTCTCTTCCTTTTCTCTCTTCCTCCTTTTCATATTTATGCAGAATTCTGTCCCCACTGTTGAAGTCTAAGCTTCCTGGATGAAATTGCCCCCAGGCTTCAATTTTCTTAAGGTTAGAGTCCTACTGTCTTAGAGCAGTTACCAGTGTTAATATTGTATTCTTCCCTTCTCCCCCCCCCCAGAGATAGAGACCCCTCAAAAAAAGGATTTCCAGCTAGCACCATTGAGGTAATAATGCATGGTGTGACCTTAGATTTTTTTGACCAGAAATCTGAAAAGTCATTATTTTTAGTTTTTCATAATTCAGGTTTTATATAAGAGATTTTAGCAATTTATTTTAGATATCTATATTCTACAGACAGACAAGGAAAGAGCTCAGGAATGAACTTCATCAGATAGAGACAAAGATTACCTCACACATGCATTGACCTCGAGTCATGTAATATAAAGGAACTGAATTGACAATATAAATGTCACTTACGACACAGGCAGTGTTGAATATATATGTATATATATATACGCTCCATGCGGGTTTCTGTGCTGTTAACCCCACAGAAGTGAAATTGAATATTTCACGAATATTTTAGTGTTCTTGCTTTTTCCTTCTTCAAATGGTGTCTGCCTTCCCAAGTTTATTGCTTAAAGATAATTCTTCAGACACTGACCAGCTTCTCAGTTCCTGTGGAGTGTGACACTTTGACCCCATGTTTGAATCTTGTTTCTTTGGGAAAGATACACAAAATCTGAAGAGCACTGGTGATGTTCTTCTGTCATCCTCCTTCTCATTCCTGTTCTTACTTAGCTCTGCCCTTTTCTGATTTCAGGGGTTCGCAGTCTTTCCTGCCTCTTTATGTTTCGTGGTGTTTAGCATTGGAATCTTCTGGGTCAGATCCTTAAGGATAAGAAAATTCTTATTTGTAAGCTGTATTTTTTCCTTGAGATATTGTTAGCCGTGTCATTTCCGAATCTTTTGGAGTGAAAAAAATGAACAATCCTATGAACTATATATATTTTGCAGAAGTACACACTGTACCTTTCAATTGTGATAACTTTAGTATATTGATGCTAAAGACCTTAGTCAACAGTGGCTAATCTTTTTGTAAACTAAGCCACCTCCCCCAGTTAGCCACCAGAGTAGATGACCCAGTAGGCCAAGCTGGGTTGCTATGATAAGGAAGACTGAGAGTCTGGGAGGTAATTTTCTGACTTTTGGCTGCTCTGAAAGAGATTTTTATCTATCTATTTATTTTTATTGTTATTTTTTGTTTTAGAGATAGAGTTTCACTTTGTCGCTCTCAGTAGAGTGCTATGGCGTCACAGCTCACATCAACCTCAAACTCTTGGGCTTAGGCGATTCTCTTGCCTCAGCCTCCCAAGTAGCTGGGACTATAAGTGCCTGCCACAATGCCCGGCTATTTTTTTGTTGTTGCAATTTGGCTGGGACTGGATTCAAACCCGCCACCCTCGGTATATGAGGCTGGTGCCCTACTCACTGAGCCACAGGTGCTGCCCGATTTTTATTTTGTTTTTTAAGGAAGTGGAGCTTCCTTGGCTTTTCAGGGTTTCCTTAGTTTGGAAACAGCACAGAACCATAGAGGTCTGCAAATGCTCAAGATAATAGCCCAGCCTGACCTGAGCTCAAGGTAGTGACTTGGAAATGCTCCTGGGGCCATGTTGTCTTGGGTGTGTTTTCTGCATCAGTGGTGGCTCTTTTATGCCCTGGCTTTGTATACTAGGCCTCTGGGCATTTATTGGTACTAAAGCAGGTGTTGGACCAAGCTCACTGCACAGTATCTCCACAAAACTTGCTCAGAGTTATTGAGCTTGCGAGTAGCTTCATTTGATCCAAAAGACAGGAGCCCAGCATTGTGATGCTTTGATTTGGGGGGTTCATAAAAATTTTGAAGCCTTCATGTAACATTCACCTGTTTGATCTCTTGTCTCCTTAGAATATCTGTGCCATGTCTATGTTCGGAATGACAGTCTTGCAGGTGTGGCCATTGCTGACAATGAATACCCATCCCGGGTAGCCTTTACCTTGCTGGAGAAGGTGAGTTTTTGGTTTGGCTGGATGGGACTTGGATAATGAGTATTGCACATCTGTGACTAGGGCCAGAGGTGACATCAATGCCTGAGGCATAGTGATGAAATGTTGTCCAAAGTCAAAATACAGTAGAACCTCCATAGTTGACCGCCTCTCCTACATTGACCACCTCCTTAAGGTGAGTTTATTTTCATAGACTGGACATGTACCACATGCAGGTATCAGTATAGTAGGCCTAGTTCCTTATGTTGACCACCTCCATATGTTGACCAGTTTGTTATAGTTCCTTGGGTGATCATCTTACAGAGGTTCTACTATATTTTCAGTCCTTCTTGCCCCCCCCATTCAAGAGAGAATTTGGCATCCCTCCCCAGGTACCTTCTCTGGTGCTGACTTTTGTCCTCATCCTACTTGGGTCTAGGCTACTGAGGTGTGGCTTCTCTCCTCTGGGGTGCACCCTTAGAGACAGCTGTGTCTTGTATTCTCAGCCCCTGTGCTGCTGAAGGAGTCCCCCTCCCGAAGGCCCTCTTACTACATTGCCTCTTGCAGTTACCGCAGCTCTTTGCTCAGGTTTTGGACAGTTGCACCACAGAGTTTAGTGCCTAAGCATTCCAATTTTAAACTTCTTAAAAACAAAGGCTTTAGCATATTCCCCAAAGTACTAAACACTTCCAAGCACATGAAATCTGGTGGTTACTTAAATCTGGAGGACCTAGTTCCCTTTTTGGAAAATTGCTTTGGAAGATTAGAGGGCTAGTGTCCCTTTTCCTGGAAATCTGGAGCTTAAAATTTGAAGCATCTTAATTTATCATTCCCCATGCTGAGGTTCATCTCAGTCTAGGCATACTTTACTTTTGAGAATACTTAGGACATGTTTTAATGATAAGAAAAAATTGAACTCTAGCCTAGATTTCCCCCCTTGCTGTTATATATCTTCTTCCTCCCTCCTTCTTGGGTTCTGGGGAGCCTAGGAGTCTCTTTCAGGGTGAGGTGCTCAGGGATGAAGCCCTGTTGCTATGGGGACTTGTAAGCACAGGATGGGAGACTTGCTGAGACTCTTTTGTCTTATAGGTACTAGATGAATTCTCCAACCAGGTGGACAAGATAGACTGGCCAGTAGGATCCCCTGCCACAATCAATTATACATCCCTGGATAGTCACCTTAGTAGATACCAGGTAAGGTTTAAGGAAACATCATACAGAGACCACATGGCCCAGAATCTGTGTGAAACTGAAAAAGCCAACTGCCCTGATAGTTCTGGTGCAGTGACTTCTGACAAGTTTTGGAGGTACTGTTTTCTCTTGAACCTTCTCTTTGAAAATTATAGGAATCCACTTGCAGACCTGGGAACTCAAGCCCTAGGCAGACTTTATATTTCTCTATTGTGTTAGTTTAAACAGGCTGTAGTTTTTAACCCGTGAAAATTTGTCTAGTGAAAATTTGTCTAGTTTTCTCCGTTGTGAGCTTTGTTTCTATGTTGCCATGCCAGTCTTGACTTTGTTCTTATTTTTGGCTCTTTCCTAGAACCCCCGAGAAGCTGACCCCATGAGCAAAGTGCAGGCTGAACTAGATGAGACCAAAATCATTCTGGTAAGTAGGAAGGTGGAGAACAAACCCAAGAACTGGGGGTGAAAGGATTTGCTGCTGGCTAGCATACACAGAATGAATCTTTGTTTTAATAATAACCACAACACTCTCTGGGAAATGGAATTGCTTATCCTCTACCACCAGGTATTCAGCTGTCCTTCTTCCAGTACCCCTGTTTTGGTTCATAGCACCCACTGTAGGAACCAAGCTGGAACCAGTGAGGTCCTGAGTTTCTCCTCCCCATGGCCACTGTCTGGGCAGTTCCTGGGCTCTAAGGGTCAGGCCACCATGCTACTTATTCCTACTACTGTGCCTGTGTTAAGTCAGGTCTCAGAGCCCCCAACAGGTGCCTCCCTCTAGAGCATCTAAGTCAAAGGTTAGCAGATCGGAGCACACTGCATTGACTAGAGGGCAGCCATGTGCTGGAATACAGGCTCAAAGTTATCAGGCCCAATTGAGAAGTCTCCTGATTTATAACTACTGCTTGAACTTTTTGTTTTTAATTTTGCACACTTGGGAAAACAGATGAACAGCCATCTGTTTTTCACCTCAGATCTGGCCCTTCTGGCCCTTGCTTCTAATTGGTCGCCTCACTTCCTACTCACCTCCAGTTTATTCAGCATGCAGTATCCTTTGAGCTACATGCTTCTCAAAATCCTTTGGCTCTCATATCTGCTCTAGAGTGAAGTGCTAACACAGTCTCATGACTGGGCCCAGTCCTCCCTTATACTCTTTTATGTCGCTGCTTGTTTAAATGTTTTCCTGACCAGTGTGTAAGCACCTAGGACATCTTTTCATCCTACTCACCATACAGCACCTTGTTCACACCAGTGCACAGCAATTGATGAATATATAGAGTGGATGTGAAGTCTAGAAAAAACCCACCCCTTATATAAAGCCCAGTGTAAAGCTTTTCTGTCTCCACCACCATGACTATAGCTTATATCAGTGTCTTTAGGGGTTGGATTCATTGGTCTGGGGTGGAGGTTGGGAATTTATGTTCTATAAAAAGCATCCCAGAGGCTTCAAACATAGATCTTCTGGACTGTGCTTCAGCAATGTGGCTTTGGGATAGGGTGACTAGATTTTAACATTTGTAAAGCGGGACAACATGGCGGGGGTGGGGGTGGGGTGGGGCAGGGGACGGTGCAGGGCAAGGCCTGACAACAATGTAAACTTTGATAAGCAGTTCTCGATAATCACTTCTCAACAATTATTTGTTGTTATTACAATTTAACATTATAAAATTAACAAAAATAATATAAAACTCATATTCTGGCCAAATAGCCACATGGCAGCTGAAAACCGTATATTCCCTTCCTGTTCTCTTGCCTGTTTGTGCATTCGTTCCAAAAATCGGGACTTCTTAAAAACACCACAGAATGTGGGACAAATTGTTAAAAATCGGGACATCTGGTCACCCTACTTTGAGATGAAAGTTAGATGTGAAAATCTTGCAGCATCTCTCTGTTGTTGAACTTCCTTACCACTGTGGAGGTGTCCACATTTCTCCTCAAGCCCTAGCTCCTCCTCCTGCAGCTTGAGTACTGAGGGGTCTGGGACACCTGCTGTGTCTCCCTTCTCTCTAGTGTGGAGAGCTGATAAGTTGTGTTCACACAGATCCTTTCTAGTTGCAGTTGTGAAATCTGGATTTTTGGTGTCCAAATCTTAATCCAGTTAACTTTTATGTTAAAAATCCAAGTTATTCAGCTGTGTGTGATAAAGGATGTGTTTGCTAATTCCTCATTCTGTACCATTTCATACATTGCTCTAGCAGAGGATGTCTGGGGAGAGAAGTGAGCTGCAGCTTCCTTAGGACCCCAGCAGCAGGGCCTCTCTCCCTAGACCTCTGCCAAAAAGGGTTGGTGTTTCTGTTTCCTAAGTCAGAGTTTGTAGTGATGACATTTAGGGTGCAGTTCCTTTAGGGAAGCAGGACATGTTCTCTCACAGTGTGGTTGAGTGGGAATATAATATATATGAGTTGCATGTTTAACTCTGTATTTTCTAGGAGCCATATTTTAAAATCATAAAAGGAAAATAGTTGAAATCTGGTATATTTTGTTTTGTCCAGTATACCTAAATATTATTCAGTAGGTAATCAATATAAAAGTTACTAACAATATGCTGTGTATAAAAAGCCTAAGTCTGTACTCTGGTGTGTTTGCACTTCAAGCACATCTCAGTTTGGATGACTTGCCTCATCTCAAATGCTCAATAGGTACTGGTGGCTGCTGTGGTAAGTCAGCACAACTTTACTGTGGTGTTAGTTTCTGCGGTTGCTAATAACAAATACTCACCAAATGGATGACCTAAGACAACAGGGGTGTGTTCTTGCACAGTTCTGGACATCAGAAGTCTTAAAGTGTGTGCAGGGTCAGTTCTTTCTGGAGGCTTTGAGGGACAGTTTGTCCCAGGGCTCTCTCCAACTTCTGGTGGTAGCCGATGTCCTTGGATTGTAGATGCAACACTCCAGTCTCTGCCTCTGTTGCCATGTGGCCTCCTCTTTCGTGTGTGTGTGTGTTTTTTTTTTTTGGTTGGGGCCAGGTTTGAACCCACCACCTCCAGTATATGGGGCCAGTGCCCTACTCCTTTGAGCCATAGGTGCTGCCCATGTGTGTGTGTGTTTTTTCTCTTTCTACCAAGATGTCAGCTAGGGCCTACCCTGATCCAGCAGGACCTCATCTTAACTAAGAACGTCTACAAAGACCCTATTTTTTTTTTTTTTGCAGTTTTTCGCTGGGGCTGTGTTTGAACCCACCGCCTCTGGCCTGTGGGACCAGCGCCCTACTCCTTTGAGCCACAGGTGCTACCCAGTTTTTTTGGCCAGGGCTGGGTTTGAACCTGCCACCTCCAGCATACAGGGTCAGTGCCCTGCTCCTTTGAGGCACAAGTGCTGCCCCAAAGACCCTATTTTTGAATAATGTCACATTCAGAGGTTCTGAGTGGACATTAATTTTGACAAGCCACTGTCTAACCCAGTACAACTATATAGTGCCCAACTACTGTTTTCTCTTTCCAGAGAGCTATATGGATGTGTGCACACACCCACACTGATATACAAATGTGTATGTACTTGAGTGGTGGTGGTTATCTAAGCCTGTGCCAGGGATAGTTTTTTGGGAAGTCCTCTATATCCAGTTAGAACTTGTAGACTCCATAGGAATGTCACTAGATCCTGTTTGATCTACTGGGACAGGAACTGTCCTGGGTCTGAGTCCTGAGGCTTAGGGGTGAAGTTTGTGTGTTGGAGAAGAGCCCAGGGAGCTGCTTTCCCCTGTGTCTGAATTTCCACAAAGAGTTCATGTCAAGTCACTTACTGAACAGAGCAGAATTCTCTCTTTTTTTGTTGTGGTTGCAGTTTTGGCTGGGGCTGGGTTCGAACCTGCCACCCTCCTCCCTGAGCCACAGGCGCCGCCCAACTCTTTTCTCTTTTATTTTGTCAGCACAACACCATGGAGTCTTTGTTAGAGCGAGGTGAGAAGCTAGATGACTTGGTGTCCAAATCTGAGGTGCTGGGGACGCAGTCTAAAGCCTTCTATAAAACTGTGAGTACCCACTCCTGGGTGTTTCCTGTCCAGTGAGCAGTTGCAGCTTGTTTGTTCTGGCACTCTCCACTGTGAACAGGTCTGTCTTAGTCTGCTTACTCATGGTGGGCTGGGTTCCACTCCGTGTGCAATGAGGGCCCAAAGCTCACTTGGGTGCTGATGGAACAGATGTAGGCAGAGGCCTTGTTAATACCCTTGACTCTGCTCTGTCACTTCTGGAACCCCCACTTCCCTCCCCAGAGGACAGAGGTTGGTTCAAGTTCTGATCACCAAGGGTTTGCCCTTATTCCTCTGTCTGCTAAGTATTTAGTTATAAGTCCTTAAGATGCCTGGTGGCTCGGTGCCCATAGCTCAGTGAGTAGGGTGCCAGCCACATACACTGAAGCTGGCGGGTTCAAGCCTGGCTAAAACAACAACGACAACTGCAACCAAAAAATAGGTGGGCGTTGTGGTGGGTGCCTGTAGTACCAGCTACTTGGGAGGCTGAGGCAAGAGAAACGCTTAAGCCCAAGAGTTTGAGGTTGCTATGAGCTGTGATGCCACGGCACTCTACTGAGGGCAACATAATGAGACTCTGTCTCAAAAAAAAAAAAAAAAAGCCAAACAGTTTAGCCTTTCTGAAGAGGTTCTTAAGCTTTTAGTTATACTTCTCTTACACAGAAGTATTTCATCAGCTGACTGTGCTTTCTCTCTCTGATGTCTTCCTACACGGAGGTGGCACTGTTGGCCCAGTTGTTGGACATTAATAGGCATGAGTATACATGGTCTGTCCACACACATTTGCTTTTTTGTACACATTGGAGAGAGGTGGCCAAGTGGGGATTAGTAGGAGAATTGGTGACCAGCAAGCAAGAGAGAAGATGAAAACAGTGGTTCCTATGAACAAACTGAGCAGGGACGACATCCTGAGTAATGTCCTGAGGACCATCTTCTAGAAAGAAAACACCACCATGGTGGTCACATAGCATTGTCAGAAGACAAGAGTGGGGGCAAAGTTAAGATATTGAGCCAGTCCACTTTGTAATATTGGTTCTTTGTTACCTGGCCCAATAGGAATTTTACTCTTTGATAGCATTGATAGGGTATAGAAAAAAATAATAAAGATCCTAGACAGTATTAGAAGCTGTGGCCGACCTTGTGTTTGGTGATATAAACTGCTCTGGACAGCTTCCCTTGAGGCCTTCTCGCCCTCTTTGCCCTCCTGATTCTGGTTTCTCTGACCGCTTCTTGGGGAACTCCCTTTGCTATGCTTGCCAAGGTTGGGGCTACCTAGCCTTCCTCAGTCCTCTTCAACTCCTCTTTGTTTCTTTCAAGGCCCGGAAGCAAAACTCCTGCTGTGCAATCATGTGATGCAGCCCACAGAGGCCCAGTGCTGGAACGTCACCATCATTCACATCAGAACTGCAGCCCCCAGAAAAGAAGAGACTGCCATAGAAGAGGACCTGAGTTGGGGCACACTGGCCACTTTTTATTTTGGAGTTTCTGGGAAGAACTGAGGGATGGTGAAAGGGTGGGGACCATTCAAATTCATGTCTGGTAGTGACTTCTGGGAAAGAACTTGAGGACCCCACAGGTATATTTTTGGGCAAATGAAACCATAAACTCTGAGTGGCTCCTGCAGATGCTGAAGGCTCGTTCTCAGCTAATCCCAGGAAGGCTCTGTGGGAGGGCGGTCAGAGCCAACTGTTTCTTGATCCTTGATATGTCTTTGGATTTTATTTGTCTGTTAACAATATTAACACTCCAGTGAGTGGGCGGGTGGGGAGGGGAAAGTCCTTGATATAAGGGCTGGAGTGGGCAGAGTTTGGAGACCCTTGGGAAAGCCTCTCCTGAGGCCATTGTGGGGGCTAGGGGTAAGCCCACCATAATGGCCACAGCCAGACCAGTGCTTCAGGCCCAAGCCCTATTTGGGGTAAAATAGTCTGTAGGTCTCACAGATTCTGAGACTCTTGTTTAACTTGCCTTTCTGCTAGGATTGGCTTCCTGCTGAGGGCAGAGCCTGTCCTAAGCAACTTCTGTCAAACATCACAAAGGTGACTTGTGAGAAGTGTTTGGAAGGAGCTGAGATATGTAGGTCACGGTCATACCAGAAAGCAGGCTGGGCGTTGAGCCCAGGAGAGTAGGGTATTCCTTCAGTGTTCGGCTGGGAGTGTTCACGTCTTCAGAGGGAGATCAAAACACAGGTGCACTTGGTTGCACAGGGTCTGCAGGACACTTGCCTTGACTTGCAATTTGACTTTGAACATCAAGATCAAAGCAATAGGTGCTGTAGTCTCTCATAACTGGTTTTTATTTGCTTCTCTAGCTATAAGAGTGCCTTGGCAACTGCCTGGGGCCTATACATCTGAATAAGTGGGTCTTTCCCCCAGGCACCAGGAGGATATGCCAGCCAGCCTGAGGATTCCTAACACCCCTCCTGTGGTCTGGCCAACACAGGCCTACTGGTCCCTTCCTGGTCAGAGGCAGCTGCTTGGTGGTAAAGGCTGAGAGATTGGTCTGATCTGTTGCCCAGCCCCAGGAAGAGGAGGCCTGCCACAGCCCTGAGGCTCAGTCTTACAAATAAGCTAGAGTAACCCAGGAGATGGGTGCGGAATGGTCTAGGCCCCTTGGGTCCTAGTGCCATGTTCAAAATTGCCTCTTTGTGCCCTGTTGTGCCTGGCATGCACCTCTGAGGACCAGTCTCCATGGACTCCCCTGCTGGCATGATGTCATCTATGAGTTTTGAACCAGTACAGTCTTGTTCTTGGAAGTTTTGCCTTGAGCTTGCCATTCTGCTGAACTCCCACTGTCCCAATTAGGAGTCCCACAGGTCCTAAATCCCCTGAGTGGGTAAGATTGTGGGGTCTGCTGAGGGTTCTGAGGACCCCACCCCTGGCTGATTTGCTTGCAGCCACCATTTTTCTCTGGGCACTGCTAGCCACAGACACCCCAAGCCCAGGGTCTGAAGGAACAGGCCCAGCCAGCTCACTGGTGCCTGAAATGGAGTGGAGTGGGCCTGGATCCGAGGGACTGATAGAGCCTCTTTCCCCTCCCACACGAGGACAGACACTGGGGAGAAATGGGGTGGAGGTGTAAATTTGAGGAAAGAAGTGAGACCTTGACTTGCATCTGGCTGCTGCTTCTCCAGGGGCTTGTCCTGGGTCAGCTACGGCTGAGCAGGGTGGGGTGGACAGAGGGCCTGTCCTGCATTCCTCTGGCTTCCTATTGTATTTCATGTTAAGTCATTTGGCAAGAGTGTTTTTAAATAATTCCTGCCTAACTTCTGTGTTCTGTTAGAGAGGCTTCTGTCCTAATAAAATTGTCCTTTGAAATTCCAAAATGGTCTTGTGCTTTGTTTGAGCTTCAAGGGGAACCCTTTCCTCACCAAGCCCTGCCCCTAGGAGGTTCAGGGGAGGCTTGGTGTGGTGGGCCTACAGGGAATAAGGGTTCAAATTATCCTGGCAGGGTCCTGTCCAGGGGTGGTACCTCAGCCTAACTTTTTCACCTCTCCATTGACCTTTCTAGCAAGAACTATTATTTCTTTGTGCTATTAGCCAGGTGAGGGCACCCTGGAGCAGAAGCCCAGTAGCCTCTGAATCCTATTCCAGGGAACTAGTGGCCACCTGAGAAACTGCCTCATAACTCCAGAGCCATGGGACAGGAGACCCTATGGAGGTCCCACCATACGCACTTCCCTGGCTCTCACTTCTGACCCCAGGTCGATCTGAACCCAGCTGGCTTCCTACCAAGCACGGATGGAAACCTTTCACGAGCAAAGGGGGTTCCACAGGGAGGGACATCCTGTATCAAAGCCTGCAGGTTTGGCAGTGAACCAGGGGCAGGTCAGGCTCCAGTTTTGCATTTGGTCTTGAGTTTAGAGAACGGCCTCAGTCATTTAGAGGCATATTGCTGATTTCTTCAATCTCTTAAGTGTGAGCGCCCAGAGCTGCTTTCAGTCTAAGCTTGGATACCTCTTCACCCAGCCTAGGAAGAAGACATGAGTGTACAGCCTTTTCCTTTTGAGAGGACCCATGAACTTGGGGTGGGGTTAAGCCATGCCATTTTGGGGGTGATACAGGGGGTGACGCAAGATAGCCTTGTTCAAGTGATATCCTTTTTACCAGTAGCACTTGCCCTTGCATGGGATGATTTAGCTTTGTGTGTTCCCCTAAAACCTCATCAGAGCTGCCCTGATGGAATCTGCAGCAAGGCCTCAGGAATAATGCATGCATGTGGGCCAGGATCTGCAGCACACAGCCTTCCTGAGGGAGGTCTGGCCTGGAAAGGCTCTCTGATTACAGCTGATAGGCAAGCAGAGCCCTAGATACTGTGCTTGGGGACAGAACACCACAGCACTTGTGGGCACTGGCCTAGATTCTTTGCACCTAGCTCTTAGGACCTGCCACTCGCCTGCCCCTGGTCCTGAGAGCACCTGCCCAGGTGCAGCCCATGAGTTAGGTGGCTACTGTTAAAGGTCTCCTATCAAGTGACAGTGTCTATAACCAGAGGCTCAGGATGGAGTAGGTGGCTGGGGGCTTTGGAAAGTTCTGGAAGATCCTTCAGGCCCCTCCCCTGGCCCATAGTGGATCGGTCCAAGAGTGTGTATGGGCACCTGTCTTACTAGAAGTTACTTGGACCCAAGAAGTGGGCATGTTTGGTATCTGGGATATTTGGTGTTTTGAAGCCCATACTTTTGTGTCAGGAAAATGAAGCATGAGGATTGGGATGCAGGCATGGAGGAGAGGCAGGGGCAAGGTCACACTTGAGCAAGTTGCCATGGATATGTGAGGATGCACCTAGGGACCAACAGAGGCCACCCAGGCTGGGCTGTGACTGGGAGGAAGCAGGGCACTGAGCCTACAGAAGGGCCATCAGAGCATAGGCAGGAGCAGCTGCTGTGTCAGTCTAGGCTTGAGTGCACATCCCGTGCAGTCGCATGGTCTGGTGACCCAGGCTGGGGGTAGCACAGATGGTTGGCACAACATAAAGACAGGAAAGCCCTGATGAGGGGGGTTAACAGGAAAGGGTTTGCTCCAAGCTTGACTGAAGGTGCAGAGGAAAGGCCTGGGTGGGAGCCTGTCCCCTTTACACCCAGGACAGTCTCCATGCTTGGCTTGGCCCACAAACCCATAGCACTAGCCACTGGACCCTGACTCCTGGTGTCCCCTGTCCCTGCCCCAGACCTCTGCCCTGGGTTCCGGATTGTGCGGCCTCCATACAGAGCCTTTTAACCCTCATGACGTCTGGCTGGCTGGCTGCCTGCCACATCATCTTTGCATCTCATTTGCGTCAGATAGCCGTGTCTGACATCTGTGTAGCCTGTACATACATGTCTGTCTCATCTATGGGAGCTGGCCTGGTACCATGGGCACTGTGTGCCTTCAGCATCCAGGACAGCCAACATGGTGGTGGAGGAAGTGTGAAGGGAGAAAGGACAGATGGGGGTCTTAGTCCTGGGGCCTTCCCACTCAGAGGCTTCATCTTTAGAGGTCACTGGCATGGCTAGAGGGCACTGTGGGTAGAGCCAGGTCTAGTGCTAGTGAAGACTTCAGAAGACCAGCAGGGGTGGTAGGGCCTGCTAGTGAAGCTACGACCCATGAGCCCTGCTCCTGCACTTTCCCAGCACCGTAGAGGGACTTGGGAATGTCTGGGCTGGCTTAGGAGGGAAGGCTTGAGCTGGGTCTTAGCCAGGCACTGGCCTTGAGTCTGTATAGCAGGGTCCCAACATAAAGCACCCACCTGCACTTGAAGCGATTTGTCCTGTTTTTCTTTTATTAGCAGTTTCCCGAGACAGAACAAAATAATTTTTGTACACTTACAAGGCTCAGAAAGAAAAGACAATGAAACTCAGCAAAAAGAGAGAAAGGGGAGGCCAGCCAGCACTGTGGGCAGCTGATCCCTGCAGTGCTGGCCAGCGGGCCACCGCCACCACACCGCGGACACCTAGCTAGCAGAGCGGCTGTGGCTTGCTCTTTAGGGGTCATGCAAAAGAATTATCCCCCAGAAAAAAAAATCCCCAAATTATCCCAAACAGGCAGCTCTGTGGAGACAAGGTGAGGGGGACAGAAGGGGAGGAGGCCCCAGGACACGAGGGTGGGCAGCTGGTGGGCCACACACTGTCCATGGCCAGCCCTGCCGCTGTCCTGTGGCCTAGGGAGCCACTGGTGCGGAGCCCGGCAGATGTTTACCCTGTGTCCGTGGATGGGGGCAGCTGTCCTGGGCACAGTGTGGACAGAAAGTGTTGTCCACTCTAAGTGTTCATTGCTGAACAGTCCCTTTGGAGTTTAGAATTGTGTGTCCTATTCCCCATTCCATGCGCCTCCCTTGGCTTGATTTGTGGGGAAAGATAAAGAAAATCCTTGTTGAAAACGACATGAATTGAGGTGGGCAGGCATTGGGTTGGGAGCCCCCAAATCTCTGCAGTTAAGCATCCTGACTGACCCACCCAACCTGGTTTAAGAGCTGCCCCCTGCAGCCCACCTGCCCTTGGGCTCACTCTCTCCCAAAGACTCCCCATGGTGCCCACATCACAAGGGGCTGAGGAGTCCCACCCTGCAGTGAGTCCAGGCAGCAATGCTTGGAGCACAAGTTTGGCCCCCAGAGGCAGCACTGTTGTCCCTCTGAATTCTCCTCTCCATTCTCTGGTGTCCTGGGTCCTGCGCCCACCTGTTTCTGTCCCCAGCCTGCCTTCTCTTCATGGCTGTATCCCTGGCTGCCCGGAAGGTGCCCCTACACACACAAGCAGCCCTGCCTACCCCTGTGCCTCTCACGCAGCCTGGGCCAGCTCCCACTGTGGCTCTTCTTTCCTTCTGCTCCAGGCTCAGACTCTGAAAATGTTTCCACTTCAGCAAACACCTGCCTAGACCCCTGTCTCAGCCTAGGAGCCTAGGTAGCCAGCACCTCCTGACCCCTCTCTACCACTTGCTCCATCACCTGACCAAGGTCTGGGCCCCCAGCTCTGGGAACATCCCCAGACGCTGGGCCTGGCTTCCTCCTGCCTTGCTTGGGGCTCAGGACTCCAGGGAGGCCTGCAGTCCTTTGTGAAGTCTTTCCCAGCTGCGTGGGCCAAGGGAGGGCTACAAGGCAGGGTGGAGGGGAGAAGGGGGTCAGGAGCCACCAGTGCTTCTACTGCTGGTTGGCAGAGAGGGTATGGGTGTCCCAAACAGGACAGAGGTCAGCCCAGGCCTTTCTACAGCTAGCACTGCAGCCATGGTGCTATCTCTTATCAGGTGGGGGCCTGAATCTAAGGTGTGTCCTCTTTGCACTCAATTCCCCAGAAGGGCCAGAGCTGGAGCCCTGGGTCTATGGGGACATCTCTGATGGTCTTGGGGATGGAAGTCTGGTCCCCTCGATGCTCCAGGAGGTGAGGGGCTGGCTTGGACTCTGCTGCAGGTTGTCCATGCTGGATGCGTGGGGATGCTGGGCATGGGGAGCCCACACCCAGCCCCTCGGGGATGAAAGGAAGGGAAGAGAAAGCAGAACACAGCAACTCTCAGGCACGACTAGCAGGAAGGGGCAGCCCAGCGGGCCCCACAGCCCCTCCCCAAAAGACAGCTGACGGTCACCACAACCAGCGGAGCACACCACATGGAGCCCATGCGTTGGCGGGAGGATGCAGACGCCTTAGATGTGGGGTGTGTGCGTTACCTACAAACTAACACCGTTCAGCACGTGACAGGGGCCTGACGGACAAGTTCATGTCCCAGCTGGTGCCCCAGAGGCCAGGAGCATGGACGGACACACGTGGAGCAGGTGGGGGAGTGGCCCCACGAATGCCAGTGATTTTTACAGCTTTTTCCTTTACTTAGTTTTTTTTTTTTTTTCATTTCACCCGATGTCAAATTTTTTGGTGGTTGTCGTTGTCATCATCTTGTTTTTAAAAACAAATCACATCTGGTCTTTGTTTTTCTGCAGACACAGGCACCAGGGGAGGGGACGAGGCAGACACAAACATGCGACAGGCAGGCCGTGTGCCCAAGGGCGGCCAGGCTCCAAACACCAACTCTGTCCGGCGAAACCAGCTCTGAAACAGGGTGGGCAGGTCGGAGTCAGCAGCCCCTCTCCCTGCCTACCAGGGCTCTGTTACCTGCTTGGGCACTGCACAGAAGCTAAAGCTAACCAGGTTCAGAGATGGGCCTGTTCAGGAGAGAGGGCTCAACATGCCCAACCCCATTACCAGGTAAAACTGGGCTTTGGCCCCCTGCACCCACAGCCTGGGGAAGCTGACCCAGGTACTAACAGTCATGACATAGTGTCACAGTGCTGCACGGGGCACAGTACCTGGTGCGGCATGGCCCAGGACTCATCCAGCTCACATTGTCATCAGTCCCCCAATCCTCTGAGGACGAGGCCACACCCAGCCCACTGCCATCCCTAATGTAGCTCCATTCCTGTGGCCTCACCCGACAGCTTTGGGCTCCCCCAGGAGCAGGCTCTGCCCCAGACCATCCCTCCCCCACTGTACCCCACGGCTCTCAGTGGCCAGGGCTCTCACCTTCACTGCAGCGGGGCCACGGGCGCACCCGAGCAGTGGAAGTGCACATTCTGCCATTTGCCATCACGGCGGTGCCACACACGGGTCTCCTCAGACTGGCTGGTGCGGGGCCGGCCCTGGCCATCAATGTACTGCGTGAGCCGGATATAGGCAATGCAGGCGGCGTCCTCCCCGATGACGTGCACGTGTGGGTTCAGGATGGTCGTGTGGATTGGCTTGCTGTTCTTTGCCAGCACTATGGACGGCGGGCACAGAGGGGGCTTGGGCGCTGCGGCCACCCCATGTGCCCGCCCATCCCCACACCAGCATGATCCTTCCTGTTCCTGGATCTCCCTTCAGGAGGGCTTGGCTCTCTTGGGAGCAGCACGCCCCCCCCCCACCCCACACCAAGAGTGTAATTTTAGGGGCTGGGTATGGCCTGAAGGGACAGCCACAGGGGTTGCCAGCAAGGGCTCTGCCAACCCTGGGCACAAAGGGGACAAGCCTTTCATATCTCTCACTCACGGTTCTCAAAGTAGAATCTGTGGAAGTCCATCCCTTCAACCAGGTTGCCCAGAGCTTCAGGCTCAAATGAGGTCAGGCCTGGGTCACAGATTTTCCTGGGGGACAAATTTACAAGTAAGGAGGGGTCCCTACAAATAAATTGTCCCTACAAATACAGTAAGGAGAGATCCCTAACTCAAAGCAGGGCCCCCCAGAGTCCTTCATCCTCATCCTGCACAGCCCCCCAGTCTTGGAGACTCACGCGTAGGCCTCAAAGTCACCGTTGTTGACAGCCTCAATGAGCTGCTCCGTGGTCTTGATGATCTCCTGTTTCCGGGCTGGGGAGAGATAGGGCCAGGTCTTGTGACCACTGGGTACTGGCTGCTCCCACCCCTGGACACCCCAACACAGCCCAGGTAAGGCCCTGGGAGCAGAAGCTGCAGGTAGCATCTGCCCTGCCTCCACCTCCAAGAGGGACCTGCTCAGGCCCTGGCACCTGGTGCCCAAATTGTTCAGTTCAGGGCACCCCCACCATGGTCGCCAAGGGTTTCTTCATTTCCAAGCACAACAGCTTCTATCTTATTTTTCTTAAATAAAATGTTTTTAAATGGCAAAATTACTTCATCCATATTACAAAATGCTTGAAAAATACAGAAAGGGGAGGAAACCTAACCACAGTTCCACCCCAAGGTCACCTTCCTGCCCTCACAAGGGCTATATGCCCCTTGGCCCACCAGGCCTCGGCCCTGGGCTTCCCTCAGCTTGGACACCAGGACCAGATTCCTGGCTCCATCCTCCCATTGTGCTTTGCTCACTTAGTGCTTCCTTCATCCAGCAACCACATGGTGGGGGCATCAGGTTAGGAAGACCTTGGCCCAAGCAGGCAAGGTCATGTGGAGACCCGTGGAGAAGAAAGCAGGGAGTGGGCAGCATGAGTGGTGACCGCAGTCTGGGGCAAAGGCTGAGGGGTCACATGGCCTAGGGGTCTCGGGAGGCAGAAAGAGCAAATGCAGAGCCTCATGTCACCCCTTTCTCTGCCAGCCCCACCAGCTTGCAGCCCCAGGTCCACAGCTGCCACCCCAAGCCTGCCCGCCTGCCTTGACATTTGGATGCCTGGCACTCGTCCGTCTGGCCTCCAGGGCACCTGCCAGCAGCCCCCTTTGCTGCTTTAACCACACTTGGTTTTCATTATAAAGTATTTTAAACATAGGGAACAAGCAAAGAGAATAATAAAACTCACAGCTTCCTGACTCAAATCTTAATATTTTCCATATCCATTTGAGACAGTTTTTAGAGAAATAGAGCATTTACAGGTGTTGCTGGAGAGGCCTGTGCTTCACTCTATCTCCCCAGAGACAAGCAGTGCCCTGAGTTAGGTACTTAGACATATCTAGGCACACACACATGCTCATGGACACGCATCTATACACACTAGTCACAGTGGCTTCTTCCAGTAACTTGCCATGGTGAAAACATAGAGCCCAGAGGTACACTGGGGGCAGGCTCCAGGACCCTCCCCACGAGCTTCTCCACCAGCCCTTTACCCCTAGGCAGGCCCTGTGATCAGCAAGTCCACTCTTAAGCTATGAGTGCTGTCCCGAAGGACCTGCTTCCCCAGGCTGTGGGCTAAATTCCCAGAGAAATCACTGGCCTCAATGTGTGTGTGCTTCATTCTGAGTAATGCCCTGGGGCAGGGCTGCCTGTCACTCTCCCACCAGTACCTCCAGGCTCTCTGGAAGGTCACCCTACCCAGGTGGCCGGTGGAGAAGGTGCTGTGTGCCTAGCTGTGTCCATGCAGGGGCTGGGTGTGAGGGGCCCTGAGTCTGCCTGAGAATGCCTGTGCTATGCCACTCTGGAGCCCCACAGCCCTTGCTACATGGGAGCCCAATGGCACCTCTGAGAAGCTGGGTGCACAAATCAATGCATGCATGTACAAGTGTGCTTGTGCATGGTCATACACAAAGAAATGTACATGTGTACTCATGAGTGTACGCCTGTACACCCATGGACCTGCACGTGTGTGCCTGTTGTGTGGGTGTGAGGGCATTTGCATTCCTGGACTGTCTCCCCCTTGAAAAGCCCTCTTTCCCAACCTGGCTGCACTTCTGCCACCATCCTGTTTCTGCTTCTGTTTCTTACCTAACCTTGTGTCCAGACCAGTCATGGTTTGCTCTCAGGACAGTCTTGCTGCAGAAGTCCTGCCCCACCCGCCTGACTGCCCTTGGAAAGCTGGCCTCTAGGAAGGCAGACTGAAGACTTCAAAAGCCACTTCCCCTCCAGTTGATGCTAAGGCCACTATGCGTCCTGCTCAGTTCGGGGAGAACACCTGGGTTCTGTCCCAACACATGAATTGCCATTCTGTCCTCCCCCTCTGGACCCTGGGACAGCAGCATGTGACAGTTCAGGTCCCATCCCACCCACATTGCTGAGTTCCTGCCTCTTTTTTGCCCTCTGCCTGGTGTCTGCTCTCCCTCAGAACCACACACCCCCTTTCACCTGTCCCTGGAGTTGGAAAGCAGCTCCATCTAGAGATGGCTCCAAGCTTCAGGCCTGACCTCTCCTCTACCCACAGCTAGTCCTCTGCCAGCCCCAGAGGTCTGCCCTAATCACATCAAGGGACAAGTCTGAGGCATCCACGTGTCCCAAATACCCCCTGACCCTTGTTAATCCACCTTTTTAACAGACAGAGAGAGCTGCCCCTCCCTCTCCCCAGAGCACAGCAGCAGCAGCTGGAACTGAGTGACTTTGTTTTGTTTCCAGCCTACTTTGATTCTGCAGTCACCTTATACCTGCGGTAAGTGAAACTAATCTTCCATTTAATGAAGTAATATGGAGTGCTTTTAAACAAACTGCAATTTAAAAAACGGAGTCAGCATAAAGAGAAAGATTCAAGTAAACAGAAGAAGAGATGTGTGATCACAGCATGCTGGAGTTTCAGAAGCAGGTCCTACTCAGCAGATAGGGAAGCTGAGGCTGCCCCTCATGGGGCCCAGATGCCTCCCAACCTGCTGAGTGGCTGCTGCACAGACCCCAGCCAGCCCCAGCCCCAACTCTGTCTCCCCAAATAGCACACAGGCACTTCTGTGTCCTCAGTATCTGGGTCTGTGAAGGACACACTACATGGAGGGGGCAGCATGAAGGGTCATCTTGACGGTGAAGGTTGCTAGCTGAGGACAAGCTGCTCCTGGCAACTCCAGGGACAAAGCTGAGGTGGTAGGCAGAGGCTGGCCTGGGAGGATGTGCGCATGTTGGGAGCCTCAGGGCCATGTGGTTCGGCCAGGCCTGCCAGGTACCCAGAGGCGAGCCCTTGCCTCATGCTGCTTCTGGCTCTCCCAGGAAGGGCCTATAGGCCCAAGGAGGCCCAGTGTGTCTAGGTGGGGCCAGAGCAGGTTCTGACCCTGGCCTGACTTCAGGCATCCCAGGCTGGTCCCAACCCCTGTCCCTAAGAGCCAGAGGTGACTGTGGGAGGGAAAGCAGCTGCCCAGGGATCAGCCTGGATTGTACCTAATCCCCGATTAGAGAGTGAGGCCTGGGGTGTGGGGAGCCCTGGGGTGGGGAGGAGTCTGGGTCTGAGGTGGGCCAGAGGCCACCTGGCTGATTTACACAGCTGGTGGGAACCTTCCTGAGAAATGAGGGACCTACCCCTGGCCTGCAGGATGGCCAGGAGCCAGGCATGGCAGTGTCTCTGGACCCTTCTTCTCCCTGACTTCCACAGGATGTCCTACCCAGCCCTAGGCCAGCCTGTTGAAGCTCCTTCCTGTGCCCCACCTCCCAGGCAAGCTCAGGATAGACCTTGAAGAGGTTGATCTGTGCTATGGCTCTTGAGGGTAAGCGTCTACTGCCCCCTGACCCAGACACTCAGTGCCCACCACAAGCCCTGTCCTTAGAGCATCCAGCCTAGGCTATTGCACAGATCTCCAGGGCAGGTCATAGCATGGGGCCAGGGTTACAAAGACATAAGGGGGTGACGTTCCAGGCTAGCCCCCTTGAGCACACTTCTCTACTTCTGCAGGGGCAGCAAGGCCACTTAAAATCAGATGCAATGCTATAGAAATTGGGAGGCAATTTCTGAGGCTACACCCCAGCCATACAGCATCCCCTCCCTGTTCCTCCCACCACTAAGGCACCCCCACCCCATCACCATCAAGGATCTGATCTCTCACTTCAGTTACTCACCTCTGATGCCCTCAACCCACTCCTGCTGGGTTCCTCAGGCTGACTACAGAATGCTCTGGGGAATTAGTGCCCTTCTGGGCCACCTGGGATGGACTCGTGCCCCTTTAAGCCTGTACCCCAACACCCTCAGGCCACAGCTCCTATAACTTCACTCTCCCAGCCCTTGCCATAGCAGCTGCAGCAGACTCCCAGGCCTGGCCTGCAGAGGGGATAGAGGTGGGCAACCCCACCTGTCACCCAGGTACTCACCCAGCCACTGCCCTGCCATGCCGAGCCCCTGGGCTGGCAGCCTCTTCTCTGAGAGCATCTCAGCGCCACCCCCCAGCCCCGTGTCTCCCCGCAGGTGGGGGTGGTGATAGTTGTAGCCCTGGGATGTCATCCATCCCTGTAAGTGATACTGGCAAGCGGTTGGCAGAAAGACTGGGGTTGTGGCCAGCCCGCCCTCCCTGCCCAGAGGCTGTCCAGCCCACGCCTGCCTCTACCGCCTGCCTGAGCCTGAGCTCTGGCTGCTCCTAGTCTGCAACTCCCATGACCCCAGCCTGCTCCCCAATGATGGGGGTGACTTGGGCTCTCAGATTTTGACCATTTCCTTTCCATCGCTGGCCTTGCAAGTCCACCCCAACCTAAGCTGATACCTCACGTTGTACAGTGTTCCAGGCCCTGCCAATGGCTATACCCTCCACTCCAGGCCTGTGCACGCACCCTTTCCCCTCCTGCCAATGCTCCAGGTTAGCTACAAACCCACAGCTTCAGGTGCTTTTCCTACACGCAGGCGTCCACACACGTGCACACTGCATAACCGCAATCTCCACGTGCTGAGACCCAGTGGCATCTTCACCTGCATCAGGGCCATTTCCGGTGACCAGGCAGAGAGGCGTGTGCCCTGCCCTCCCCCACAGGCCTACCCTTCCCAGAGCAAGCCTGGCTGTGAGCCACAGCCCAAGACTCATGCTCTGGGAGCCCCTCTGAGCAGCTGCCACCAGGGCCACTCAAGGTGCTACTTACATGGGGCAGGCAAGGACCCAGGGAGAGTCGGAGATGGGCAGGGCGGGGCACCCACAGTTGGGGGCCCCTCAGCTTCTGGGGTCCCTGAGCCCCTCCTCACTGAATTCAGGATGTCAGTGATCCTGGGGGCTGGGGTGGAACAGATGAGATGTGAACC